GAAAGGACCTTCCCTCTTATCCCATGGCCATGTAATTTACACAAGAGCCTTTGGTGAGGGAACTTGTCAAAGGCTTTCTGAAAATCCAAGTACACTATATCTACTGGATCCCCCTTGTCTGCATGTTTGTTAACCCCTTCAAAGAACTCTAATAGATTAGTAAGACATGATTTCCCTTTACAGAAACCATGTTGACTTTTGTCCAACAAATTATATTCTTCTACGTGCCTCACAATTTTATTCTTTACTATTGTTTTGAATAATTTGCCCGGTACTTTGTAAGGTCCACCATTGAAAGACTAAGCTGGCAGCTTTCCAAATTTCTTCTAATATATTTGTAGAACATTTTCTTGTTACCCTTTATGTGTCTAGCAAGAGTTAGTTCATTTTGCGCCTTTGCCTTTCTAATCTTGCCCCTGCATATCTGTGTTGTTTGCCTACATTCATCCTTTGTAATTTGACCTCGCTTCCACTTTTTATACGATTCCTTTTTGATTTTTAGATCATGTAAAATCTCCCATTTTTAACAAATAGGGAGGAAGTGGTTGAAAATTTGAAAGTGGAAGGCAGCCTGGCTGAAAGTGATCATAAAGAAATCATAAGAGTTCATGATTCTGAGGAATGATAAAAGGGAGAACAGCAGAATAGAGACAATGGATTTCAGGAAGTCAGATTTTAGTAAACAGAGAGCTGTTAGGTAAGGTCCCATAGGAAACAAGACTAAGAGGAAAAACAACTGAAGAGAGTTGGCAGTTTTTTCAAGAGACATTATTAAGAGCCCAAAAGCAAACTATTCCACTGCACAGGAAAGAAAGAAAGTATAGTGGGAGACCACCTTGGATCAAATATGATGATGGAGACCAAAGTCTGTTTTGTAAGGGGCTCTGACTCTACCCCATACCACCTAGATCCACCTAGTGCCTCCCCATTTGGTGACTGTTTGGAAACCTGTCCCACATAGTAAATGGGGGCAGGGCCAGTGGAAAGGAAGTAACTATAACTTGGTGGCTTAGGAGGGAGATGGAGAGTGTGCTGATGGGGAATAAAGCAGAGCCTAGGTCACAATGTCACTCACTGGCTCAACCACCTCCCCATCACTTGTGTAGGAGGCACACTCTGCCTTAGGCCACCCATTACTGCTGTACCATTAGTTTCCACGGCCAATCTGTTTGTGACCACTGGAGTGGCAGAAAGGAAGCAGAAACTGGGAGAGTCTAAAAATTAAGATAGCTTAGTTTTGCTATTTTCATTTATTAATCCCCTACTCTTCTGCAAACTGAAAAAAGATTACAGATTTGTTGTATTTTTAATTAATTTATTTAAAAGTTGGGGTATAAGGGACTTGCATTTAAGGATAATTCAGTTTTATGCTATTAATACATGGTTAATTGAATGTTAACATGCTGTATTGCAGCAAACATTTTTGAGTTATACGACATGTAACCTGCAAAAAAAGAAAAAAGCACGGTCTGACAAAACGTTTTTGTGGATTCTGTGGCTACCCTAAAGTTAACCAACTGGAGTAAACAACAGTAAAATAGTATTAAAAGTCCTCAGCCCTCGTCGACTGGAGGCAGGAATACTGCAATATACAGCCTTCAAGGGAAGCAGAAAAATAAATGTATATAGTACCAGATGAGATTCTCACTTCCTCTTCTTTCAAAGAGAAAAAAACAGACCAAAATCTACTGTTTCTATTATATAATCCTTATGTATATTAAATAAAAGGAAAATTTCTATTGTGGTGTTCTTAAAACTTCACTGTATGTTATAGAAATTAAGTACTTTGAAGGAATGCTGAAGTAATTTATCCTCATGCCAGAAGAGGGCAGCATAACATAGTATTCCATAAATTAGAAAACTATGCCTTAGCTTCAAATCACACTCATCTCTTTTTCAATAAAGTATTAATACTGTATGCATATATTTCCTATGAAATCTTGTTTTAAAACATGGTAAATTAATATCTGGGGCTAATAGAAAACATCCAACAAAGACACTTACTGTTGTCTACATGGAAATTATCTATTCGGTTTCATAACTGCAGACTATATATTTTTAATTATATACACCAGTGTATGAGACATCAAAATTCACGTGCAATGCTGCATTAAATGAAATGAGAAGCATGACAGAATTGTTATTTTGATCTGAGCAATGAATTTTTATTCCTATTTGACTTTCTTATCTGTTTACCAATTAATCCTAATAAATAAAAAATTGAGATTTTCAATGCTAGAAAATGTCAAAACTTCTTTTAATCACATTATTAAATTGCATCTTATTAAACTGTATAAATAGTTTTATTTTCCTCACCTGCATCCCTTCCAAGTTATCTTATTTCAGAACCCTCTTCTAAATTTATCAAGCAGATACACAAAATTTTAAATTTACTTTCAGTTTTCAATGGTAACCACCACTAACCAGAAAAGGGAAACAGACTCAAGATGATAATCATGATGGGTAAAAGGCTGTTTGGTCACTAAGAAAAAGCAGAACACAGTATCCCATTTCATGGTTTTTAACTGCGAATGTGCCAGCTTAAAAGTTACATCTTCAGATGAATTAATAAATACATTTAAAATATTTTATATAATATACAAGAAAGCTTCTTTAGCAAATGGTATTTTCTTCTATCTGGAACATTGTAAATCGTCATCATGTAAGGACTGGACCTAGAAAGTGCTGTAAAAAAGGAAGACTTGCAGACAGCACCATGATCCAGTTTAGTCAATCATTTGTTTCAATAGCATGTACAGTTTGCTTTCATAAAACACTTAGCCACACAATGCAATTATGCATATGCTTCTGCAGGTTTTAAAGTTATACAATAGTATGCATAATTTCATACTACTTACTTGGTGAAATACTTCATTAACAAAGTTGACATAACCTCGAGTGGATAACAGAATTCTCTGTACCATCTCATACACTGTCCGATGTTGCTCTTCAATGCTGCAAAGGCTAGAGTTACTGAATCTCCTATCAGACAAAGTGCTGCTATTGGAATGATTTTTCTCTTGCTCTGGTAGCACACTAGTTTCCAACTCAGGGTTTTTATCCTGCGATGTACCACCAGTCTAGATAGGAGAAAATGCAAGCCTAATAAAATACTTGTATAATATTGCATATAAACACACCAAAAACTTTAAGTTTACTTATTTCAAACTCCAGTTACCAGCAATTTTCACAAACCCATGGATACCCAGGAACAAATGAATACAATCTGCAATAAACTTGAGCTAACGTAAAAAAATCGGTCTTACAATATTTAAATGCCTAATATGCATCCTATTCCCTTATCTCTGATCTGTTGACTGAGAAACAGGAAATCACAAGATAAAATGAGTTGGACCATGGAGATTTAAGAGAGTTTCCTATATGGGGCACACCAGCAACTCTGAATCTCCAACATTAGAATTCTCAATTTTTAGTCTTCAGAAAACAAGGGCACAGTGCTAGGGGATGTTTTTTAGGTCACCCTGTGCTCCACCAGAAAGAAGAGAGAAACTGGGGAGGAAAAGATTTGGTGAGGAAGAGAAGAAGCAGAGGAGTTTCATGTCACTTTTTTTCATTTGGGAAAAACTGCAACTCTAGTCACAGTCATGAAACAATTTAATAAAATGGTAATTTATGGGGTTATTTGTATACCTGCAATATTTTGTAATAAAAGGGATCCATTCACAAGAGTTAAATGACAGTGGATGTAGTCTTAAAAAGAGGTTCTGTAAAACTTATCTATTTTAATGGAAGAAATGTTATCTTATTAAAACATGTAATTCACATGCAACAATGTTCAATTCACTGGAAATATTGCCTGGGCATAGGTGCTGCTGATTAGCAAAGATTTTTTTTTAACAGTATCAGATTTAGGGATGTTAACTTTAGATGAATCAGTTAATCAAATAGTCAATAATGGCGCCTCCACCTCTGAAGTGTAGCAACAGCCCCAGGACTGTTGCTACACTTCGAAGGTGAAAGCACTGCAGGGGCTATGGGGCCAACAGGGGACTCAAGAAGTCCCCTGCTGGCTCCCTGTTCTCTGTGGCGTTTCAAAGTGGCCACAACAATTTCAACTTTAGACTTCTTACTTTCTATATTTCTTTAGAGAATCTGCAACCAAAGCCAACTGTTATTAAAAAAAAACTCACTGTACGTGACAGTAATATTGGCCAAATTTGAACAAGTACATTGTAAATCAAATGTGTAAATATTGACACTGTTTTTCCTTATTTCCAGCTGCTAAATTGCAAGAAAAGGAATTAAAATACATTAAATACTTTTCTAGTATTTCACTGTAAACAACTGGTAAAGTTGTTGTTTGATTGATTATTAAAGATGGCCATCAAGATACTCTCACTCTTGAGAAATCATCTACAATATAAAAAAGTTTGAATGTGTGTGGTTTAGAACAAGCATGATTATCTCGTGTTCAGAAGGTTCCTTTTCATCTTTAAATAAGGCAAAGGGCAAACAGCTACACAAATATTTTCTAGTACATTGCTAAAAAGTGTTCCTCCAACGACGCATTCCATTTGAGGGAAGTAAATTTAAACTCCATCATTCATCTTCCTAAACAAAAGCATTTCCATTTTGTTTCAGTTGTGTCAATATATTTTGATCATCTGCAGCTTCTCTAGCATATAGATAAGGCAACAAGTAAGTTTCTGACATACCTGAATAATTTTAGGTAGCATGTCTCCTCCATTTTTAGTATTTTGCACTGAAGTTAAGTACTTCTTTTCAAGAAAGAAGGTTACAAGCCATTTAATAAAAACAACACGAGCAGCCATGAACGGGATTTTTGTGCTGTAGATGTTTTCATTATTTCGAATTGCAGTAATGTATGCTGGTTTTGGCCTCAAGTCAGGAATATCTAGTAAGATTAAACATATAATTTATATAAATTTTTTAAGAAATAAATGATTGGTGAAATTAATTGCATATTAGACCAATAGCATTTTTTCTCCAAGCTAAATAATAAATTTGATGAACCAGCTATTTGCATCTATTATTATTATTAATATATATTAATATACCAGGGGTAGGGAACCTAAGACTCAGGGGCTGGATGTGGCCCCCAGCTTGCCTCAATCCAGCCCCCAGGGTTCAGGGCTTCCCCCCAGCATTGGGGAGCCTGTGCTGGCATTCCAGACCCTGCCACCCTCCCCTTCGGGTTGAAACACACAAAATCTAGTAGCCTGGGCTCCCATAGGCTCTGGTGTACATGGGGAATGGGGGGAGTGTTTTTCTCCTTCTCAGTCAGGGGCCATGTCAGTGAGAATTTTTCTGGGCTTTTTTCGCTTCTTACTTGTGTGTAGCCCCCGACTGATTTTTCTGTGGGTCAGCGGCCTCTGACCCAAAAAAGGTTCCCCACCCTTGTATGTACTGTCATCATTTTAATTGGTGATAGAGAGAAACACCATGACAACCAACCAGTTCCTTCCCTGACAAACTTAATCTATACCCAATAAATAACTAACAATGCAAACAGTGAACAAACGAAAGGGATAGGAAGGGGTGTGACAAGTGCTTCAAGTAAGAATACGTTCAAGTGGAACATAAAATTATCTTATAAATTCTGATAATTTTTATTGAGAAAAAAGTGAAAGAGGAATGGAGTAAATAAATCAAGAGCAATCAAACAGTGCAAAGCTAAGTGGAAGGAGTGAGGCTTGAGGAAGAAAAAGAGGATGTGCTAAGGCATACTAGAAAGGGGAGATCGACTCAGGTACAGGGAGCAGTGTGAGAAGCACAGAGAAAGTAGAAAATGGGCAAAAAGCTAAAGATGTGAAGAACAGCCAGAGCACAAAAGCATAACTATATAGATGAGCTATAAAACATAGGCAGGGCATAGTTGTGCAGAGGCTTAAAAGTGGGCATGAGTATTTTCAATGCTGTGAAAAGAGATGACATGAAGTGTCTCTATGGGTGATTAACATGGTTGAAGTGGCAGTTAAGATGGTATTAGCTGGTAAAAAGCTGGATAGATTGAAGAGGATAAGGTTCACAGTCAGGGAGGATGTTGAGTACTGTATTAATACTGGTCAAGTATTAATGGCTCTGTTCTCATTCAAACTCCAGCCCATTAGTTCTAATGCAATACTTAACCTGTATATTAGGAACAACTCAAAGATGAAAGGATTTCAACATTTCCAGAGTGATGGAAACCTTTAATCATTCAACTGGATTTTGACCAGCTCTGCAGCTGTAACCCCCTGCTCACAAGATAACTGTACTCACATCTATATTTCTGCCTCCTTAACCATCTATGGTGTCGCTATACTTTGAATTAGGGTTGTGATTCCCGACTTGAGAAGACATTCTTGTGCTAGCTCTCATTGAGCTAGTACACTAAAATGGTGTGTAGTCGCAGAGCTGTGTACAGCAGACCAGGCTAGACATTCTGCCTGTCTTCTCTCATGGATATGCACTGAGACAATTAGCTTGTCTTGACACCCAGGATATATTCTTCTTTAAGGACATGAGCTCAATGAAAGCTAGCACAAGTGTGTGTCTCGAGCAGGTAATCACAAGCCAGCTCAAAGAACAAACATATCCTTAGATGCATTCTCTCTCTGTCACTCTTCAAAAATGAAGGAAGTAAAATGAAAACATTTTATTTGTATTCCAACTAATGTCTGGCATTTGGGCACCTGAACAATTCTTTCAGCATCCACCCTTGATCATGTATTAATGCACATTCCTTGTTATCATAAAACAACATGAAAGCCATGGAAGGTCTGGGTGTCCAAGGAATGCAAGATTGGCCTCAGCCCACATGTAGGGTTGGCAGGTGTCTGGTATTGACCTGGACAGTCCGGTATTTTTGGCTCCTGTCTGGTAAAGAAAACTCAGAAAATACTGGACACTTAAAATGTCCAGTATTTTCTGATTTTCTTCCCCGGTCAGGGGGCAAAAATACCAGACTGTCTGGGTCAATACCGGACACCTGGCAAACCTATACACAGTCAGCAATCGGGCCCAGCTCCCCCACCCTCCCCGCTGTTTACCTGGTTCTTCAGGGGAGCTGTCTGGCCCGGAGCAAGGGGGGAGGCAAGATGGTCACCAGCTGCCTGTGAAGAGAGGCAGAGGCCAGCCCCTCCTGCTCTGAAAGGGGCCAAGCTGTTTTTCTCTGGGTCCTTTTTTTTTTTTTTTTTTGGCTCAACTTTGGTCCTCCCTGCTTTTTTCAAACAAATTCCCCCCCCCCCCTTTTGGGGGAGGGGGGAAGGTGTTCAGTATTTTTGGTTAAACCATCTGGCAACCCTACCCACATGTAGGAAGAAGAGATTAAAAAAAAAAAAGTTTCCTGTATTCTCTACACTGCTCTCATAGTGATATGAGACTGAGTCCAGTCACAGCACTATTATAAATCGTTATTTTTCTTAGGCAACCATAAATAACCCTTGGAACCAATATCTGTGATTGCATATGAAAGGTCAAGGTTTGTTTTTTAAATGAATGGCACCTAATAATTTTATAAAAAATACAATTATGTTAACAGAATCTGTTTCACCATAAAAAAGGGGAATCTAAAACAATACAAGATAAAGTATTTTTTTTCTTATAAGCCATTAAACATGTAATGGATATATTCAGCAAATATAGTTGTAATGATCACAAAAACTACAGATATTAACCACCAAATATTTTTGCTACTTAAAATTAAAATTCAGTACTTACCAAGCACAGGCTTGTAGAGGTTGGTTAGTTTTGTAAAAGATGGAAATAAGTGAGGAAGATAATACTTTCTAAACAAGGCAAAGAGAAACTTAAAACCAGTGTCTTGGTTCTCCTTATTCTTCCACTCTAAACTTGCAGCCTTTGCCATGGAACAAAATAAAAAAAGAAAGGTATCAAGTTAATACATATTCTATTAAAAAATTCTCCATGTTGATGATAAATGCTGCTTTACTGAATGTGGAAGAGAGAAAACACTTCAATAACAGACATGAAATATTAGTATTCTATTTCCAAAAGCTCTATAGAGTACAATAAGAGTGTAAGAAAAAATAATGCATTCCAGGTGATTTAAAACGCAAACACAATGGAACTCATTAAAAACTGACACACTTATGCTATTATAATCCAATCACACACATGAATGTCATAAATTAATGTCAGTGTATTTTGTTAAAATATTTTACTAAGATTAAACAAAGCTTCTTACCTCTAAGTAGGGTTCTATGAAGCTACTAGTCTCTCCAGGGGATATTTTTCTCTGATAATCAGCAGAACCAACTCCTGTCATTAACGGAGTTGCATATGCACATACAAGATAACCTTAGGAAGCCTCACTCTTGAGCCATATTTATTTGACACTGGGGGCTCATCTAGACTTGGGGAACAGTCGAAAGAAGATATGCAAATTCCTGCAGAACTTACATATCTTCTTCCAATCGCACTTTTGAAATCAGAGCTTTTGAAAGTGAAAGTAATTAAGATGCGGCTTTTTTGGCGAACCGCCCCCTTCGTCGAAAAGCAGCTATTCCTAAAAAGAGAAAATTCCTGCAGAATTTGCATATCTTCTTTCAACCGTTCTGGGTAGTCTAGATGAGTCCTGGCACTGGGAGTTGACGGCAAAAATCTGATTTTTTTAGTGATTGAGTATGTCAGCCCTGGTGAGTTTTCACATACCATTCTGACACAACCCTGCTATGCAGTTTCTTGGTACAAACACTGCTAAATTGTGCTAAAGAATGATTTTTTTGTCTTGAAACATGGGCATGTTAAAAATAATATGCACTTTCCAATTACAGAAACCTACACATGTTAGTTTTCTCTAATTATCTGTTTATGGATTACAATATAAGAGCAAAGAAGAATGGTGAAGGTAGACATCCCTGAAATAAGGAAAGGTAAGATTTCTACTTGCTCAATGCTGTCTATGAATTTTGATCTCTCGTATCACCTTCACCACTCCCCACACCGCTAATTGATGTAAGGACTGAAATGAAACAAGGGTGTGTGATAGCACCTATGCTATTTAATATCTTTTTGGCAAGCATGCTCCAGATTATTGGAGATGACCTCCGAGATGAAGTTGAAATAACCTACAGGATGGATGGTAGCCTCTTCAGTCTGGACTGCTTCAGAGACAAGTCCAAGACCACAACATCAGTGGTAGAACTTCAGTTTGCTGACGATGCCCAGGGCAATGCCACCTCAGAAGATGGGCTCCAAGCAATCGTCAATGTTTTTGCTATGGCCTACCACAGGTTGGGACTGACTCTCAAAGCACAAAAGACCAAGATTCTCTTTCAGCCAGCACCCGCCATACCATTATCTGAACCAATCATCACAGTGGACAACCAAGTGTGGAGAATGTCAACAGCTTCCCTATCTCAGAAGCTATCTGTCTAGCAATACTGACATCAACAACGAAATCCGCCACTGAATCTCCAGTGGCAGCACAGCTTATGGACATTTACAGAGGCGAGTCTTCAATGACCGTGACATCAAGATGCAGACCACGACTGTCATCTACAATGCCATAGTCATCCCAACATTGCTATATGGAGCACCATCAAGAATGGAGCTCAGCCCCTTGAGATCAAATGACGTCTCCTTGAAGATCAGAGAGCCTGACATAAGGAGCATGCCCAGACCTGTATTGGCACCATCAGTGTTGGCGCTGGCATCACTGGAGATAGAGACCTCACATGCAGCCACTGCAGCCCCTATTCGTTGCCAGACTTGGCCTAATTTCTCAGCTACATACTCATCAGTTATAGGCATCCAAAGGGAAAACGTACTCAATTCAAGGGATCCAAGAGAGAGAAAACATCAGCTTCACACCATGTAAATCCAAACCAGCTTAATTTATTTACCATTCTTCTACGGTATATTCTTTCAACTTGTCTCAGTACCCATTCCCCTTTTTAAGGCAGCTCCAAGAACAAATAAAATTCTCAGTTACTGAAAACTTTCAATTTTTCAAATTCCCACAGACGTCCACTTGATCCCTGTACACCAAAACAGGAAATACTAACTCTAGTCACCTTGCTAAGACTCTATATTTTAAATTAAGACAGGATACTGGCTTTTCTTTTATTTGCTATCATAGATTTGTCTGCTTCAGCCATTGTCTTATTACATTTTCTCTCTTTCTTTAATAAGGAACCTACATCCCAATAAAATGTTTTTAAAACTTCCAAAATCACCAAAAATACTATAATTTGTAAAGTCTCATTCTGCTAATACTTACATATTTAAGCTTTGGGAGTGAGAAGATTGTCTGTAATTTTTCCGATTTACTATATCCTGTCTGAAATAAACTGTTATTCCTATTTCATTATTTTAGGTTGGTGGAGTCAATTTTAATGTATTAAATACAACAGTGTAGTTACTGAATTTATTTATTGTCAAAGTACTCATGGATTTTGTATACATGTTCTTTTTATAATGTCAAATTTAAATAAAATAACCCAAATGGTGAGTAGCATCACTGAACACAATGTATACTTAATCATGTATGTAAAATTACTGTTTGCCCAAATGCTGCAAAAATTGCCCAAGAATATAAATTCACGATTGCCTTTAAAATTTACTGTCCAGTGTTTGATTGCTTGCTTTGGCCATCTCAAGTCACCTGATACGGTCAGCTGAATTTCCACTGAATGTTTCTTGATTGCTTCCACTTTAAGCTGTTTTTCTTAATTTCAGAAACAAAATTCAGTTAAAAAGTGTGTATTTGTCACAACTATTACTTCTATTTATTTGCATCTTTAAAACAGAGGTATCAGTAAACTTTTCTCTATTCTCAGTTTATTTGCTATAAAGTAACCCAGTCATTCTTTTGATTCCAATTCCACAATGTACTTAAACTAATCAATTCACAAAGCATCAGTTCTACTTTCTCCAAAATCAAAACCCAAAAAACCAACAAAACAGAGATTTGAAGATGAAGACATAAAAATTCATTTCCCTCAAAGAAGACTCTTAAAAAAGTCTGAGGGGGGTCTTCCTTAAACAGAGAATTTGTCTACCTCTTTCTTTCCTGAAGCATGGCTTTTCCCTCAGTGCCTTTTCTGAACACACGATCTGTACTCACAAAGGGTGCTTTTCATCTCATCCATCATCCTCAGTAAAAAAGTGTTGTAAAAACTGGCTCCTGAGCTGCACTAGTGCCACACTGTTTTCCATAAGTGTAACGGATAGAAAATGAATACACAGTTTTGTTGATGAATGAAAATGGAACAGACTGCAATGCACATAGTTCAAATGTATTTCTGCTCTGCAGGGGCAAGAGCACTAAAAAGACAATGAACATATCTTTGCACCATAGTAGGTTAGAAGTTTGTATACGTAAAGGGAGCAGATCTGTTGAGTATGAAAGTGTCATTTTAACATAGTCCCTCTGTACCGTAAAACTGCACTTTAAGCAAGATGAGAGAAACACTTTAAAACAGTTTATCATTTTACTCACATTACCTTTCTAAACCACATCTCCTATAGAAAAAATATCAGTTTTCCACTTTTTTTCATTACCCTCATTGTTTTTAGTGGAAATATAAGAGTTATTTAAAACCTAATTTGTAATGTTTATTTGTTCCATTAAGGTTGCTTTTTAATTTTTCCTCCCTCATTTTACCTTAAGTTTGTTTTAATCTCAGTGTTTGTATTTTTAGAACACTTCCTCCACTTAAATCAGCCTTTGCATCATTTTAAAAAAATCATGAATATCTTCTCCGCTCATTCCTATTATCTGTTTTCCTCAACGTCTGTGTCACTAACAAGGAACAAATTATATTGATACTATGGATTTAACCCCCAAATTTGTTAATTGGTTGAATGATAAGTTTTACTGATTAACTGATTAAACAGAGGTGGGACCGTTCCAGCCCACTGGGCTGGAGCAGCCCTCTACCCATCATGGCCAGGCTGGGTACTTAAAAGGGCGTTTATATGGAAGAGGGAGAAAAATTATTCTCCTTAACCTTTGATGATAGGACAGGAAGCAATAGGCTTATATTGCAGCATTGGAGGGACAAAACCTCCTCTGAGGGTGGTTAAGCACTGGAATAAATTGTGTAGAGAGGTTGTGGAATCTCCATCATTGGAGATTTTTAAGAGCAGGTTAGACAAACATCTGTCAGGGATAATGTAGATGGTGCTTGATCCTGCTGTGAGAGGAGGGGACTGAATTTGATGACCTTTCAAGGTCCCTTCCAGTTCCAGTATTCTATGATTCTATGCTAGCTGAAGCAATGGACTCAGGCTGAGAGGCTCATTCCCAGATGCAGTGTACATATATCCTTAGAGACTAGTGATAAAATGGGAGAGAATATGGAATCAAGTCCTGTGGAGAACATTAATTCAGAGGTGTGGCTTACTGTAATGCATTTCATATACTTCTTGGCTTTATCTTGATTTAACTGGATGCCCTTCCTCAAAAGGTTATATGAAGAATAAATTACTTGTTAGAATTCTTCGCAATTTTATAACGTAACTAGCAGAGATTGGAAGAGTTGTGACAATCGTTTGACTGAAATGGGTCAACCACCTCTTATACTGGCAATACTGAAGCCTGAGAGAGGTATTATTCTGTTAACAGCTTTTGAGATACACACAAAGTGCACCTATTGTATGAAAATTCAAAATTAATTAAACTTTGAAATCAGCTGCCTGATGTTAGATGCTAGTGCACAGTGACTAGAGCATAGTTAGGGATTTGTGTGAAACTGTTTATCTTGTGAAAAACCTTAGATATATAAAATAAAGATTTTTTAACTAAAAAAATGCAATACGACATCATCCCTTATTTGTTTTACTTATTTGAGATAGAAATAGCCAATTTCAAAACAAGAGCCACAACGTTTGACTCCTTTTCTGTTATAAAAAAATAAGCAGTTATATAGAAGACAATAACCTCAAACTGAAAAATACTGTACTAGTAGAAACAAGGAAAACTCCCACCACAGGTATGTTCCCCCACATATTAAAGAGTTTACAAATATTCTTTTCACACCTGGGTTACCATATACTTTAACAATATCTGGAGGAAATAGCAGGTTTGATCCTCAGCAACCTTTTCACCAGAGACCGTAGGTAGAAGTGGAGCTATTTCTTCAGGATAAATCTTTGCTAAAATATAGAGAAAGATTTTTAAAAAGATGAAAACTTTAAAATAGTGGTACAAATAAATTAAATGAGTAATGTATTCACGTTCTATAAACCATGATATATGTATTATTATATTATGTATATGTAATTATTGTTGCAGAAAACCATGTTTCATTAGTCAGTTGTATTCGTTTGATATCTACCCACACTCCAAAATGTATAGCTAGAAACAGCATCAGCTCTGGCCTCCCAGCTCCCACAATCTAACATTTTCTATAGAAGATTTATTTAACAAGAGGGGAATTTCTAGCTTTGGCAATAGTGACAATCCAGAAAATAATAAACTAAAGGAGAACAGATACAAGTTCTATCATTTATACTGATTTTTTAATTTAAACCGGTTTTTAAAATGCATCTGAATTTGCCACTGAATAGTGTAAACTTCACTGGAGTGCCACAGGATCCAAGGACCTTACTACAGAATGTAAGAAGCCTTGACTACACCAGACATATTAGCTTTGTATAGAGAACAAGACTACCAACCACTGACAGAAGAACAGAAAGGAAGGAATTAACTTAATATGGTTGGCACCACAGTCTCTTATATACTTATGCATCTGAATGTTCAGATCCATAAGAGGATGTGTATGGAATTAGTCATGCCTGATAGCCAACTGAAGTATCCAATTTAATAATTAAGAACAACACTAAGCTTTCCCAGAAGATAATATTCCCGAAGATGTCCTTCCCTTCCTAAGTTTTTCTTCTCCAGTTCCACCTCCCCCAATTCCACTGTTTCTTCTTGTCTTCAACATTTTCCCCTTTAACTTCCATCTTTTTTACTCCTCCTGCAGGGGAGGTCCTTAAAGGGATGATTCTTGCATTTACAATTGAGTAGTTAGGATCAGTGCTTTTTTTGAAAGAAAAAAAGTGGTGGTACTCTGGGGCAAAGTTGTTGAGGAAAAAAAGAAAGCACTGGTTCTCAATCTAATCTTAAATGAAAACTCTGACATTTGCTGCCCTGTTTGGTCCAGATGTTTAGAGCTTCAGAGATGCTGCAAGACTCATTTTTTCCTTGGGCTTTGAGTGAAAGAAATGGGCCACATGGCTAAGACGACTCGCTGTCTGTAATAAGTCACTGTACTGTCTTCCTAATAGGTATTTTTAAAACGCTGTACATTTATTTTGATGTCAGGCATCAAAATACACGTACAACATTTTAAAAGTACCAATTAAGAAAACAGTGCAGTGGCACCATTCAGACACATGAATAAGTTAGCCATTTGTACTGGAACTCTAATTGACCTCCTTTCATATGGTGGGTTGAGGACACACAGAAAAGGGGGGAGAAACTCTTTACTGTACCAGATGTAAGAACTCCCAGTCCTTTATTCCCCATCCCCTTTTTTTAAGAGGATGCCCTCCTCTAATCTTGATTTAAAATTCAGTTGAGCAGGGAACCTGACCCCAAACAGAACAAGTACCTGCATCAGACAATTTCTAAGTTATGGTAACACGAACAATTTACAATCTAGGACCTACCAGGTCACTGGGTTTCTGATAGAGGAAGTAAAAAAACCCACAGTACCAAACCAGTCTACCGGTGAGAAAAATTCTTTCCCAGATCCAAAGAGAGATTTTTCTGATGTCCACACCATGACCTAGAAACCTAAAACTCCAGATTTGTGATCACATTCAGGCAAGTCTAAGGATTCATAAGACCTCTCCCTCTATTGGGCAGAAACCCACAGGCAGCCACTGCATCCTTCAATCCAGCCAATTAATTAAACTTTCCCCCTCCCAACCCGTAAGACTAAACGCCCACAAAGAGAAAGCTAATAGCTAATCCATAGAATTACAGATGTTGCTAATGGGGGAAAATATCTAATAGGTTACACTACCCACTTCTGTAAATCTGTGAATGAGTGATGTAACTGGTAAGCTTCATCCAAGGAAGGGTGAGCAATCCTTACAGGGCCCAAAAGATTTTCTTTTCTCTGTTAACAAAACTTCCCCATCTCTGAGACGGTGAGGTGCAAGCATTCAATAGTGATCTTAAATACAGGATCCATGCTGTCAATAAATGTAAGTAAAATTTTCTACGACAGGCATCTGGAAAGTGATCATCACCTAAATATAAGCACTAGCTATCTAGTATGTAAGTTCTTTTCATATTCTTTTTACTGTCTATATCTACTTATACTCAGTGACCAGCAGCAAGTAACAAAGCAATGCAGAAAGAATATCAGTAATTTCTTTTCTACATCTTTAACACTAAGTAACATAACATTCTGCACTCTGGCACTGTAAGACAGAATGGATACACTGCTCTAAAAACATTGTAATAAATTAATCTCAATATGATATGTCTCTGATTCATGCAGGGATATAAAATACTGTTTAATCAGTTAACTGGTTAAACATTACATTTAGCTGCTTAATCGCTTAACTGGGATCCAGCCCAGCCAGCCCACTATCCGCCTACAGCTCATTACATGGCAGGCCCAGCCCTCTTGCACACATTGGGTAGGGTGCTGCTCCAGCCCAGCCAGGCTGCCAGTTAACAGGTTACTGGTAAGCATCACCCAGGAAGGATGATGCTTACCAATTAACCACTTACATCCCTCGTTGAAAGATTTACAAAAGTGGCTAGTGTAACCAGCTAGATATTTTCCCCTATTAGCGACATCTGTAATTCTATGAACTAGCTATCAGAAAAAGGCTATATAGTCAGCATTTCAATTAGGAGAATTTTGCTTACCATCAAGCAAAGTAAAAGGAGGGCTAATGAGTGTATCCAGTGTACAAGGACCTCTTGATGACATGATCACTGGAAAACCAGGCACTAGGCATGCAAAAATCAACACTTGCTCCTCTGAGCAGTTTGTCTGAAGTGCTTGCAGCCAAAGAAGAAATAGACGGATTCCTTCACATCTTATCTAAAAGGAAAAGAAAGTAGAATGTGACACTGATAAAACAGCAAAATGCAATAAAAATACAGAATATTTAAAGATACTAAAAATGCTTTTAAAAAATATAAAGATAAGCTCCATCACTCTTATTACCCTTCAGTAAGTCCTGCAACCATTTTAAGAGGCAACACTAATTAAATGGCTCATGCACTGGGTGTGCTGGAAGCATATTCAGGAGTACTGTTGCAGTGTGCCAATTCCTGGCCAGTGCAACAGTCCCTAGGAAACCCTGCTCCATCTTGAACCACGAACCAAACAACTCCGGTGACTGTAGGAATTGCGATCTCCAGCCAAGTTGCTCTTCTGCATTCTCTAGTCCTGTCCCAAGTACAGCCCAAGTAACAGAGCCCTAAAATTGATCCTTTGAGACAATGAAGTAGGTGTATTTCCTGAACACAGCAAATGCCAATACTTTAACGGCACACTAAGTAGAAGTAGAATTTTGCAATTTATTTCAGTGGGGCCAGAATTTCAATCCAGCATTCCAGTTATTGCCTTGAAAATCTGTACATAAGCCAATTCCTGTGTAACATACCATGATCTCAATAAATCTTTAGCAAAAAAGCAAACTAGCAAGGCAGAATTCTATTGTTGGAATTATAACTGGAAAAGGAACAATGGATTAAAAACAAAACAAAAAACATGGAAGTTTTCATTCAAACTGATAGTTTAATATACTACATTTCAGGGTGGGGAGATTAAAATGAACAGTTACTTAACATTGGTGACTACTGTTCTTCGAGATGTGTTGCTCATGTCCATTCCACATAGGTGTGCATGTGCTGCGTGCACACATCGTCAGAAGTTTTTAACTTAGAGGTACCCGTTGGGCCAGCAGAGGAGCCTCCTGGAGTGGTGCCATTCTACTGACTGATATATACCCCTACTGGCTCACCACCCCTTCAGTTCCTTCTTACCTGACCACTTGGGAGAGGGGGAGGAGGGTGTGATTTGGAATGAACATGAGCAACACATCTCAAAGAAGAAAAGTTACAAATGGTAAGTAACTGTTTTTTTTTACCCATTGACTGATTGCTCATGTTCATTCTACATAGGTGACTCCAAAGCAGAAACCCAGGAGGTCCCTCTACTGAGTGGAGGACAGCCCTTCCCAGGGCTGCATCCTCCCTAGCCTGATGAGCCAATGCATAGTGGCTGGCAAAGGTATGGACCAAACACCACGTGGCAGCACTACAAATATCCAGGATAGAAACTTGATCCACAAAGGCTGTGGAGGCGGCCTATGCCCTAGTAGAGTGGTCTGTAAGGGGAGGGGCTGGCACCCCGGCCAGACCGTAGCATACCTTGATACAGGAAGTAATCCAGGAAGATATCCTCTGCGCAGAGACCAGCTGCCCCTTTAGCCACTCCATGATTGCCACAAACAGCTGTGGGGACTTAAGAAAGGGCTTCATCCTGTCTAAATAAAAAGCTAAAGCTCTCCTAACATCTAGAATGTGTAAAGCCTGTTCTTTGCCAGAAGCATAGGGCTTGGGGTAAAAAACTGGGGAAAAAAATGTCCTGAGAGACATGGAATGGAGACACCGCCTTTGGCAGGAAGGTGAGGTGGGGACATAACCGGTGTTCCTTCTAAGCTTCACAGGTGATTAATCAGCCCAGCCCAGTCAGAGGCTCAGGGCTCCATGCACATAACTGACTGACTGGGTAGGGCTGATTAATCACCAGTGATGGAGCACTGGACAGAACCTAACCTTATCCTTGAAATAAACTGCGTAAGGTGGGTCTGAGGTAAGGGCCCTGAATTGGAACACACATCTGGCCACTGTGAAAGCCCAGAGAAATGACATGTTCCACAAGAAGTGTAGCAGCAAACACGTTGCCAGAGGCTCAAAGGGGGATCCTGTGAGAGGTCCCACTGAGGGAACAGGTTGATGAACATGCAGGTAAAGCCTGTCCAGTCCCTTCAAAAACCAATGGAGCATGGGGTCTACAAAGAGTCCCACCCTGGGAGCCCAGGTGAAAAGCAGAAATGGCCACCAAGAGGACCCTAAATGACTAGGAGGAAAGCCCTTGAACCCGGAGATCCAAGAGATAGTCTAGGACCATCGGGACCTGAGCATCCATAGGGGAGAACCCCTTCTGGATAGCCCAGATGGAGAAGTGCTTCCATTTAGCTAGGTAAGTGACCCTCATGGAATGTTTCCTACTCCCTAGCAGGACCTCCTCCTGCACTTGCTCCAAGCACTGCAGCTCCACCGCTGTCAGCCATGCAACTTCCAGGATATTAGGTGCTGAGACTGTAGGTTCGGGTGGCAAAGCCTGCCGAAATCCTGTGTTATCATGTCTGGCTCCAGAGAGAGAGCATGGAGAGGTTCAAGGAAGACATGAACCAGTGCTGCCTCAACCTCACTGGCGCTAGAAGGATGAGGGAAGCCCTGAACTCTTAAGCCCTCAGGAGAACCTTGTGTACAGTGGGAATGGGGGAAATGCATAGAGCAGATCCTTGAGCCAAAGCATAAAGTGGGTGTCTCCCAGAAACCCGCGTCCAAGCCCCATGAAGAAGGAGAAGCTGGGGAACTTCCTGTTCTGGTGGGTTGCGAACAGGTCCAGGAGGGGGAAAATCCACCTGTGGAAGGTTGTGAACAGATCCAGGAGGGCTACATCCTCTGGAGGGACCACTCGTGGCTGACAAAGGATCTGCTCAGCCAGTCCACCAGAGCAATCTGAGCCCTGAAGAGGTAGGAGGCAATCAGGTGAATATTCGCCCTGATACACAGATCCCAGAGCTGGAGGGCTTCCAGACACAGGGAAGGGGAATGAGCTCCACCCTGCCTGTTTATATAAGAGACCATTGTCTTATTGTCAGACAGGATAAGAACCATCTTGGCCCAAGATGAGAGAGGAATACCTGGCATGACAGATCCACTGCCCACAGCTCCCTCACAGTGATATGCAAAATGCAGGACAATGTAGCACTTTAAAGACTAACAAGACTAACACTATTTGATCTGAGGAAGTGGGTCTGGCCCACGAAAGCTCATCATCTAATAAACCATCTTGTTAGTCTTTAAAGTGCTACATTGTCCTGCATTTTGCTTCAACTACCCCAGACTAACACGGCTACATTTCTATCAGTGATATGCAGGGAGAGTTCCTCCCGAGACCACATACCTGGAGTCCTCCTGTCGCCAATTTGGGCTTCCCAATCTGTGTCGGATGCATCCATCACCAGCTAAAGGGTAGGCAGAGACCTGGAGAATGGAACCCCAGTGCAGACCACATCCTCCTGGATCCACCAGTCCAGGGAGCACAGGACATGGGGAGGGAGCATCACCACCCTGTTCCAAAGGTGAAAGGACAGGTAGTGGACCTGGGCCAACCACAACTGCAGGGGCTATAGGCAAAGACTGGCATGCTGCACTACATAGGTACAGGTGGCAATGAGCCACAGGACGCACATGCAGTTTCTGACCGTGGTCATGGGAGACACCTGCATGGCCAGGATGGTGTTCCTGAGAGTCAGGAACTGCAACATGGATAGAGATGCCATGGCCAGCATCGAGTCCAGACGAGCACCCATGAATTCCATGACCTGAGTGGGGAACAGGGTAGACTTGGCCTTATTCAGGAGGAGACCGAGCTCCAAGAAAAGGTCCCACACCAGGGAAATATGGGCCAACACCTGGTCCACTGATGATAAGAACATAAGAACGGCCGTACTGGGTCAGACCAAAGGTCCATCTAGCCCAGTAGCCTGTCTGCTAACAGTGGCCAGCACCAGGTGCCCCAGAGAGGGTGGAACGAAGACAATCATCAAGCGATTTGTCTCCTGACATCTTTCTCCAGCCTCTGACAAACAGAGGCCAGGGACACCATTTCTATCCCCTGGCTAACAGCCTTTTATGGACCTAACCTCCATGAAATTATCTAACTTCTCTTTAAACTCTATTATAGTCCTAGCCTTCACAAGTGTGGATGGCAGTATCTCTCTCCCTGCCATCTGTCAGGCCTCCCCTGGCCTAGTCAGAATGTAGATCTGGGATTGGCAGTAGCGTGAAATGAGAAGTCCTCCTCATTTGGTTTGGCTTGAAGATGCAGTGGGAGAAAGTAATTAAGGGGAGTCAAAGAAGCTGTGAAATAAACCACGAGAAAGGCAGTTTTTGGGATCCTGCACCTCAAGTTCTAGAAGGTACACTGTTCAGACAAACCAGCCCTAACGGATGGGGATACAAGACATTCTGGGAAGATGTTTTTCAGATGATGAAATGTTGCAGTTTTGAACAGTTTATAAGGACGGGGTGGGCAAATTACAGCCCATGGGCCAGTTTTATACAGGTGGGCTACGTCTAGACTGGTCCCAAATTCTGGAAAGGGGATGAAAAGCAGGTAAGTCAGCATAGGGAAATCCGCGGGGGATTTAAATATCCCCCGCGGATTTAAATAAACATGTCCGCCGCTTTTTTTCCCAGCTTGGGGAAAAGCCGGAAAAAAAGCGTCTAGACTGGTGCGATCCTCCGGAATAAAGCCCTTTTCCGGAGGATCTCTTATTCCTAATTCAAAGTAGGAATAAGAGATCCTCCAGAAAAGGGCTTTATTCCGGAGGATCGGGCCAGTCTAGACGCTCTTTTCTGGCTTTTCTACAAGCCGGAAAAAAGCGGCGGACATCTTTATTTAAATCCCGAGGGGGTTATTTAAATCCTCCGCGGATTTCCCTATTACGAAGTTTAAAATTAGCATGCCCCTTTCGGAAAAGGGGCCAGTGTAGACGTAGCCTGTGTGTGTTGTATGGTTTTCACTAAAATATGCTGTGGGTTGGAAAGGAATTTGCTTTCCGTGCAGGACAGTACAGTTTAAACGTATTACAAGCATATTCATAATTATTCCTCCTGAAGGGCTCTACTCAGGTGTTGCATGGCAGTAGCACTTTATTACACGTCAACTCCCATGCTGTTTTACAACATAGTTTCCATGGTTACATACCACCCTCTGTAACCCACGGAGTCCAC